GTTTCATGTGCATAATTGTGCAGTAAACCAAATGCAGTGAAGAGGACTGCACAAAAGACCCTGGGTCAGTTTGTGCTGGCAACCTACTGTGTACACACTGAACCTGTGCATGTTTGTGTTCCATATAGAAAACACATGCAAGAGAGTGACTGTGGGCACTTGTGCATACTTGTGTTCCATGTAGAAAACACATGCAAGAGAGTGACTGTGGGCACTTGTGCATACTTGTGTTCCATAGTAGAAAACACATGCAAGAGAGTGACTGTGGGCACTTGTGCATACTTGTGCTGTAAAACCAAAGGAAGGTTAATGAATGTGGACATGGGCTTTTGTAGAGGACAAAGTCAGGCAAATATGTAGTGGCTCAAAAGCATGTTGCAGGCATTGGACACCATTCAAGGCAAAAATGCATTGCTGTTTCAAATAAAGTCTGCACAGTATTCCTCAGAAGGTGTCACTTCAACTAACTCTCATAGGCCCTCACTGTGTTATGGGCAAGTTTTCTGTTGTTAGGCAAACATGTTGTGGGGACATATGTCTGTCCCCACAACATGTTTGGTTCCCCCAAATCAGTGTAAGGAGAGGTGTCCATGTACATGTATGTCACCACAACATACAGAAGAATGGGTGAGGTGATGTTTCAAGTGTAGTTATTTTGGAGGAGTCTCAAGAGACTTATGCAGAACACAGGAGGAGATGAGGTTGGCATCAGCCAGTAAGCTTACCAAAACGTCTTGGTCATGATCATCATTTGATTAGAATAATCCTCAGGTTCAAAAGCTATTCCGAAGCATTCCTTGAAATACCAGTATCTTCAAATAAGAGTGATTTGTTTGACAAGATGGAGAAAGAAAAGCTAAAGATTATAAATAAAGGAGATGTCAAAATGCCAATTTTGGTTGGTTTTGTATTTTTTATACCCTTCTTGTATGTAATTCACTGCTTGTATGTGCGTTTTCCATTGGACATCATTGCATGTTGCCTCTTTTTAACTTTTCCTAGAGCTTTCAAAAAATTGTCCATTCTTCTACACATCCAAAGTACAAGAAGTTGGAGCCACCAATCATTCCAGCGTGTACCTTAAAAATTGATTTAAAAATGAGACACAAATTAGTGTGAAATGTCAGTCAGTTCCTCTGTTATCAAGAATTCACATCAGATTGTAACAGTCAGATCCACTACTTTCTTAGTTCCTTTGCTGTGATGGTGTGAATGCCGTTTAGTTTGTTGACCCAAGTCACTCCCCAACTAACTGAGACCAGTCATTATTTTGTCAAAGTTGACTTCTTCCAACAAGAACCCAAACGGTGTTAAAACCTGTTTTTTTCTCTCTTCTCTTTCTTCATCATGCTTCTTCCCTTCCCTTCGTCCTGTTCTTTTCCTGCTGCTTGATTGCCTGTGTAGTCCGTACCTGCTAAGCGAAGAGATTTTGTAATGAATGGCCATGGAACCACACATCAGGCTGCAACTTCTAGTAATAATGCCGTCCCAAACTCCAGAGAAATTGGAAATGGGTCTGATTGAATCACAGCAAGCGGCCAACCAAGTGTGGGGTTCTTTGTCTGGCCTCAATCCAAGTTTAACCAACACCCCCCAAATAAATGGCAGTAGTATGGATAGTACCCAGCAATGTGATGATGTGGTGCATAGATTGTGACTAAACTGCACCAACTGTGGTGGTATGGCTTCACTAAATCAGGACCACTCGGAGGAGTTCTTGAAGACTACTCTTGCTGTGAGATGTTGGCTATGGTTTGTTAGCCAGTTTACCCCTTTCATTTCCCACATACATCATAAGTAAACATTTTTCCTTGCAGACTGCTTGTGAATGATTTTATTTGCATGGCATAGTCTTATCCAATCATTAGATTCAGAAGTTAGGTATACTTATATGTAAATTTGTGTCATTAGTTGACACTTTCAATTTTTTGTCTTTTGAAATTTAAAGAAAAATATTCATTTCACCTGTACCAAATAACTGTCATTGATTGGGTGGATACACATGTACTTTAATATTAGTTTCATGTATTGTGTAAACTTCTTTTGAAGGATTGAAAAAAATGGCAATCCGTGTACATTTAACAACATGCCATAATGACATGTAATGAAAGTGGTACAGTACATTTTAGTTGAGACATATTCCTGCACAGTCTTTCCACTTTTTGGCAAAATCATTTTCAAATTCCACTCATTTGCAGTCGCTAATAAAATTAAAAACCCTACCAGAACTTGACAATGAATCCTAACCAGGTATGTGAATAACGCTACCATGCTTCTAATTGAGTTGTCATTTACAGAGACTTCCCTCTGACAAAGACGAATTTGAAAGTTTAAGGATTCACATGCAGTGGGCTGTCTGCACATAGATTGTCAGTACTACCTTAGAGTCCCAGAAGAGCGTTATCTACATTTAGGTAGATACTTTCCTGACTCTTCCAAAATCCTCCACTGTTGAGGAAACCAAAGGAACGTAGTAATAAGATGATTGCTAGAAAGGTTTTGGTTTTACACATATATGGATGGATGTTAAGTGTGTAATGACACAGTCATGAAAGTGTGAAATCGTACTTGTACTGATTTCTAGATTTTTATTTGGGAATTTTGTGAAGTCGCAACCTTGGGAAATAACAAAGTTGAGACATTTTTCAATTTGAAATTGGCACTTCTTGTGGACTAAATATTACCTTTCATTTTATACAGTTTAAATAGAGCCTGAAAGTACTAGGTCATGTGGCAAGCTTCTGGAACCCTTGCACGGTTCACCTACGGGGATTTGACATGGGGGTATCCTATCACGTTCGATAATTTTTTGGAAGAATGATTCTTAACTGAAACCACCCCAAGAAACACTTGTATCAGAAGTTTCCCTTTGATCTCTTCAAGTCATATTTTGGAAAAGTCACCTGCAGATGGGTAAAAAAGGAATTTTGTTCATGACCATTCACGTCCGGGCGATATCGTTCCTGGATGTTTGTTTTCATTCCTGTGCTTAACCCATTGACAACAGGAATTTCTTCCCAAAAGCCGACTCCAAGAATTCCAGCCTCGCTTGGCCACGAAGGCCACCTGCCAAACCGCAGATTCTTGGTTTGTGACCCTGTGTGCTCTGCACGCTTTGAATTTCACGGTGAAAAGTCTGATTGTTCTGTGGCATGCGGCTCTACTCAAGCTTCCACATTCCTGTTGCCTCTTTTCAAAGTGGGGACTATTGTGAAGCTGGTGATTATGATGCAAAATCTGTCTTTTCATTTCTGGGCTATGCACAAAGACCAATTACCATATATACAAGAGCCTGGGTCTGCCTTCTTTCACCGTGTTCACCCGAGCGTGGACCGAGAATAATAGCTGAAAAGCGGGCTGAGGATCTCAATTTTTACGGTGGCTCTATCCGCGTCCCGGCGCGAAGGGGTTAAGTGGAAATGAGATTGTACAACATTGCAAACATTAACCTACTTGCAGTCAATGGGTTCTAAATTCAGTCGGGTTGCCCTGACGCAGTTCTTGTCAACAAAGGTCAGATTAAACATTAGAACCTTTGATAAAAGCGGAATATTGTTTGAAATTGATTTCCTAATAAATTACAAATTCCATAAAACATTTTGGTCAGTTTTTATTTTGGCTATTACCAAAAGACTACCATAAAGTATAATTCCGCAAGTGTTCATCTGCATACGAGACCACTGCATTTGACTGTTCTTCATAAATTTTATATATTTGGAAGTGATAGGTCAAGTTTTGGCAGGATATTTCTCTTTTAGGTCAGGTAATAATTCAATTTCTGAAAATTGCTATGCTAGCAAATGAATATGTTACAAAAGGCATTTTACAAGTTGAGATTTTAAGAAGGATCGAACGGAAAAAATTACTAATTCTAAAATTTTTACATGTTATTTTTCCTATCTAAGGGTTCCGGAATTGCACCATCAGAAGTCAACTTTTAGGCTCTACTGCAAATAATATAATTTTCAGAGTTATTGTTTGAAGTTACTATAAATATTAGTAGTATTTGGGAGTATTGTCTCATGTGCTTGTATCAAGCATGTATAGAAACTTTTTAAGTATAAATGTATTTTTTTTGTGGATCATTCAAGCATCTAATGACTTTTGTGAAGAGGCTAGAGTTATTCTGTTGGCATAAACTGTTTATGTGGGCAACCATAGGAAAGGAGTTTCATGATTGGGTTTATTCCTTCTTGGAGCAATTTACATGTACATGTATGTGTCTACCCCTGATGCTAACCACCCATGTACATGTAGGTTTCACCTATTAAGAGTAATTTACATTTGAAGGAGTATTCCTGCCATTTCTCTGCTCAATTTAATTTGTACATGTGACAGGTGTAGCCATATGGATGGAGGTATGTTGGGAGGATGGGTGTGTTCTGCTGTCTTCCTAGCCCTGGATGTGTGTTCATCAATTTTAATTAATTACAATTTTGATCAATTGAATGGCTGATTTTATTTCTGGTGTGAATATTTACTGTCTATTCAACAGTAAATAAAGAAGCAAGCAGAATCTTGAAATCGCCAAAACAGAACAATTTTTCAATACCGGTATCCATTTTGTTCCTTTCAGCTACATGTATTGGATTCATACTTTTAAGGAAAGTGTGTGGAATATTTGAGATTTTTGAAAAGAAGTTCTTGTTTGTTCTCTTGTGCCTTTTGACATTTCAAAGTGATTTTTGATTCAAATGGAAAACTGTAACTGAATAATCCACTTCTTGATGGATTTAGATACCAAATAACACTTGCAATCCTATTTCCCCCTGAAATAAATCTTTCAGTTGACTGATGGCTGATGTTGGTTTATGTTAAGAATTCAGCACTTCATATGTACATTCTTCCAAAGTATTCTTTATAACAAAAGGGAAATTATTACATTGTATAAGAATCTATAAATGAAAATTGTGTGCTGCCAAATCATTATATTCGTTGTCTAGGTTTGTTTTACATCATACAAACGTATTGATGTATGTGTGTCTTGTTTTACTGTGGTTTGAATTGCAAGCATTATGTAGTAAAATGCCTTTGTGAATTCTGCCATTCATTTTGATATGTAGTCATTGTAAGTTATGGGTACAAATCACAGCAGCATAGAGATGCTGCAAATGTAAAGAAAACTACATCCTACTCAGTAATTACTCTGTGAACTGAATAGTGTTTACTGATACATGTACAATGTATAGGATATTATTTCAAAGTACAGTATTGTGGTCCAGTAATTTTTAAGTACAAAGTTCCCTGCCAAATACTGAACTGGTTTGGAGGGAAAAAGCTGACGAATGTAGGGAATGGATGGTGAATGATAACAGGTAAGATTATAGATTAAAATGGTGACTTCGGACCATCAATGTTTTCTAGAGTACTCAAGAGGTACTCTCCTGATTTTTTTTCAAATACTTTTTCTTTAAACTTAATTCTTACAAAACTGGGAGTGTCTGAAGTCTTACATATTTTGTATTCATACCTTTTGTGCATTTCCTATCAAATCTGTATTGTTTCTTCAGCTTTGTTTTCTCCATATCAGTTCAATATTTGGCAGTGAACTCAGTACTCAACTACAGCCCAGTTGAACTAGCCGTTTCTTATGTAAGCACCATTCAACCATGGTGTTAAGATAGTTATGAGGAACTAACATTATGCAGCTGCAAAGCAGATAATTTCCTTGTATAATTCAAATGCTAAGCCAAGCATGTGGGAAACCAGTAAAAAATATGCACATTGCACAATGTTTTAATTTGGTTACCTGCTTTTTTTATGAGTGGCATTTTCCAGTTGCAAGCAGATCTCTCTGCTTAGCAGCTTCATGATGTTAGGCCTTGCTGAGGAAAAATTGAAACAAATTATCCTCCAAGAAATTAAAGGTAAACTGTCATCATCAGGATTATTGCCTACATAAGTAGTGAAACCTTTGTCGAGCTGAAATTTCATTTTGGGCACATTTTGTTATGTGTTACATGTGACTGAACGATGAAGAGAAATGAATTAAAGGTAAATAAAATGCACACTTGTACATGTATGCTCCCTTTGCTCTATCTGAAGTCTTGAATATGTTTGTCATGCTTAACGTCTTCATTTCAGAAGTAAATTGTGAAAGGTTAAGAGCTATTGACTTTGGTGTAGTCACAAGTCCCTACAAATCCATTACAAGTCCACAAATTATTCAATCGTAAGCTACAGGTGTTTCAAATGAACCATGAGTAAAGTATTTCTTGGTCACTGTTCTCTCTTAATACTTGCATCTGATCTTGTGAGTGTACTTGAGATTTGATCAGTCAACAAAAGTAAGAGTTTCCTGTATTTTTGAGTAACATATTTGCCATTTCTGAAATGAATGGGTCTATATAGGGTAAATGACAAATTTGCAACATGATGAGATTAGTGTCGTCCTTTCTATTTTTTACATTCTGAAAATTCTTAATTCTGCAGAACTGTGACATTGAGAGATCAGGTGATGAAGCTTTATCCACAGCTCCTCCTTATCCCAACAAAGAGAAGATACCAGAGAGCAATGGAGAGGAAGATGATGTCTTCCAGGATGCAAGAACCTCCTTGAATAGTGATTCTAAGGAGTATAGTATCATTGCAGGAAGCGTCAGTTAGACAAGTGGATGTCAAATATCTGTTTTCTCTTTTTAGCATGATTACAGGAGAGTAGGTTCTGTTGCTCTCGCATCATAGCTCAATTCCCACCTTGGTTGCTGATAATTCCCATCTCTCTACCGTCCCACTAAGAGTACCGGTGGGTAGAGCATTGTAGGTTAAGACGCCATGGTGCAAAACAAGTGATTCAAGATTTGCTGTAAGTTAAAATCTTGGCCTTTTGGCTAGGATCACAAGGATTGTATGAATTCAGGGACAGGTGGGCCCTCTACAGATCGGAAGGAGGTACATCAGTTTGTCCTTTCATGGGGCATGAAGTCTTTTTCCTAATTCCAATTTTTGAATTCCCATCAGAAATCCATACAGAAAGTAGTACTGTACCTTCATTGTGTGAAGTTCTGTTTATGTTATGCTGGCCATATTTGACTTAAAACGCTCTGGTTCTCATCCGGAATTTATACTGGAAGTATAAAAATCAAACAATTGTGGCTGAGGTGATGTTTCATGTCATAAATCAATGATTTGGTTGATTTGAATCTTGTTTAGATCAGAGACTTTGTCATTGACTGCTGTACCTAAAAATTGTACTTCATGAGACTTTGTGTGTACTCTAACAAGATACATCCCTTCACTAACAAAGAAGACATTAAGTGGGTTGGAAAAATGTCAACTTTGCACACCGTTTACATAGGAAGGCTGTACATATCAAGAGAAATTGGTCGTGTGTTCAGCATGCCCTGCATTATATGCATGAACCTGTGCACACTTGTGATATTTTGGAGCGAAACAGAGATGTCTTTCATATCACGAGAGAGCTATAGGTTGGACCTCTTTGAGGGGAAAATTATGGGCGTGTCACTTGGTAACATTTGGGAGGATGTGTAATTATCTTACAGAAATAAAATTTTAAAAATTAAGAATTTCTGGCATCTTTGTCTGGACGACTTGAGTAAAAAATGTTTAAATTGGTTTCAGTGATGTAGATGTTAATTGTCACGAGCAGTCCTTTGTTGAAATACTTAAACTCAAGACCATGACTTTATATTTTGTAATATGAATTAAGTTATTGATTTGGATATTTAATTAATGAAGTGTGTTGTTTGGTACATTTACAAAAGCGTCCAAAATTTCAGAAAAAGCATGTTTCTCTCATTTGTAACATAGGAAGGTGTGTCTAAGTTTCTATTCCTAGATGTACACATACATGTTTGGAATTTTAAAAGAATTTTAAAAGATTCCTGTCCAGGATTTTCCTAATCTAGCTTAGGGTTAATTGGTTTCTCTGAATGTCTATTTGCGATGAGTGGGAGAGTTTTTATCTAGCCTGGAGGCTGTAGATATTTCATTCCAACTATTTCTGTGGGTGTCAGTCCTTATGTCATTGGGTTGTTCCACAGAAATGTATTTGTCTTGTAAGCTTTCTTTTACCGTACCATTTGCACAGAGACTAATGCGTGTAATATGTTCTCACATTTGTTGATGTCTAACAGGTGCTTCCAGGCAGGGACTGTGTTTTACAGATGATTTCTGTTGATAGAAAAACTTGGACCGCATTGCGGGTTTGTCCTGTAACTTTTTTTGGTGCACAAAAAATTCAGTTAATGACATGGTCTTTACAACTAGCCAACAAACAAGTGTGTGTGAAGCTCATGAGCTACCCTTGTTTCAGCCCTTGGAGAAAGTTAATTAATTGTTGTATCTGGAAATAGCATGTGGGTTGAGGGGAGGGGTCTGATGGGGAGTGGTCTGAAGGGGGAGGGGTCTGAAGGGGAGTGGTCTGAAGGGGGAGGGTCTAAAGGGGAGGGGGTGGCATTTCTAGTTCATGGAGTTTTATTGACTGCCATTTATCAAACTGTAAAGTGTATGTTTAGGCAGTGTTTATTTTGTGTGAACAATATTTTGAGATGTTCTGAAATATAGATGGATTTCATGAAAGAAACTGTGAATTGCCATTGTCTTATACACTGAAACATCTGTGAAAAGAAACATCTTGAAAATGGTACAAAACGTATGAAATATTTAACGTCATCTTAAATGAATGTATTTTTGACTTGAGAATGACGGTAATTACAGAGTGAAGTATAGAGTTTCAGAGGAGCATAACTTCATTTTTGAAATGTTTCTGCAGCAGGTTTTCTCAATGTAATTACATGTACTACTATAAACTAAACAAGATAGTGGAAATGCTATAAATTTGTAACATTAGACCAATGTGGGCTTAGTTTGCAGGTTATGAGAGATTCCCAAATGTTCTGGTTATTCCACTAATTTGTAAGCAGGATTATATTTGTATTGATAGTACTTGTACATTGAGATCGGCTAGATCCTCCTTGTTGGTGTAGCTGTGGTATTTATGGTGTCTGATACAACTACCAGCTTAGTTGGGTTGACTTCTTGGAGTGATTTTAGCAAGAAACATGAGCCATTTTGTGAGTTAAATTTCAATAAAATCTGGTACACAGAGTTATCTGATTGCACATAAACGTAATAATTTGAATCCTCCATACTAAAACACCTTGTGATTCGGGGCAAGCTTTTGCATAGTGACCACTATCTTTGGAATGGACTGGTTCCTTTGTGCAGTTCTTATCTATTGAGAACAGTGTATTGTTGCAAGGCGTCTCTTATGTAAATAAACAAAAGCTTGCCCCGAATCACAAGGTACAGCAACAGTGTTTTTAGTATGGAGGATTCAAATTGTTATGTTCATGTGAATGTAAAGAACTCAGTGTACCAGATGTTATTCAACTTTAACTCGCCAAAGGCTTATTGGCTAGTAACAACCATGGGAATTGGTCACATGCCATAAACACCACCTTTTTTGTGAGTAGTGCTCTTCAAGTGAAGACCAACTTGAGTTGGCCCATGAATTTAGCTCTAGATTGGCAAAACCTGCCACTGATTATGGCTAGAAGATCCTATCAGTTATATGGCTGTGGCTAGAAATTACGTGAGTTTGCTATAGGGGCCAATAGCCAGTAGCCACTTCCAGTCGTAACTTTTCAGCTAGTGGATTTAGACATGGCTTTACTTTACTCAGTTCTGAAGTCCTTCATGGACTGGTAACATCTGGCACTGGAAGGAACATTGATTGTGTATTTTTTCTTGATTATGATCTCTCAGGGACAAGAACATTTTTGTATTGAAGTAGGAGGTTCTCTACTGATGAATCCAGTAGCCATGGTTACATGATCGGTGGGCATTCTTGAAGATCCCTCTCAATGGTGAAAGGCACTGTGGTATGCGTGAACTCCTTAGGAGACATTCTGAATATACATGTAATGCAACACCTTTCACTATTGAAAGGAATACCCACCGATGTCTGTGGATTCGTTTACATGCCGGAAGACCCCACTAATGACAAAAACATTATATCAGCTGATACACAACGTACCTTCACCCTCATGTTTACAGCAAAGCCTTTGAGAGGATGGGGAGTTACATGTACAAGAGTATAGAGGATTCTTGGTCCCAGATTAGTCAGTACCACAGCCTCATAGCAAACATCACCCTGTATTGGAAATGTGGGGTACCCACTGTGAGTGCCTATTAACTGTCATTATAAGTGGAATAGTTATTTCTGGAATATTGGATCCTGTTTTGGTGATATCAATGCATTTTTTAGCAATAGTACAGATCCTGTTTAATATTTTTATACATTTTAGAGAGGTGGATAATAAATGGAGAAGTTCAGATGATCAGAATTGTGTGAGAATTGTCATTTATCACTTTTATTACTTTGTTTTCCAGAAAACATTTTCAGTACAGTAGTAAGATTGACATCAGCCCCCCCCCCCACAAAGTTGCTGCTTTTCAAGCACTTCAATGATAATTATACAAAAACTGGCTACTTTTCAGTGTACATATACTGTACATACATATTGATTTAGAATCTCTTTTTCATAATGGCAACATTTTTGTAAATCCTTGCAGTTAAATTCTATTTAACATACACTTATGCAAATTACAAGCAACAAAAGGTTCTCTGCAGGATCAACAAGTTCACTTCTTTGACAAGTTGTTTTATGCACAGGTTTGAATTACGTTAGGTAAAGGCATGATTATAATGCTTAGTACAAGTGATACCGGTAGCTTTTTGAAACGACATGAAACGGCTCACCAGGAACACTTCAGATAAGGACAAATGAGATTACTGTGAGCAGTGACAGCAACCTAAGCATGTCCTGGTTTCTTCAAGGAACAAGTTGCACACCTACTTGAAATTGGTCAGTTTAGAGAAGTCAATGACCCAATTGCATGGTTAGGATCAGAGAGAGGCTGTATCGGCAAGTTAGGTATTTTTGAATGTATTGGTATGTAATGACTTGCTAATCAACATTATTATGTGTAGGAAAAACATAGTGTAACCTTGCTTTTGGCTATCCCATGGAGATGTATGAAACATCACAGTCAGAACCACACATGGATACATCTTCAAAGTGGCAATTTAGGCAATAGGCAGGCAATTTAAAATGCTTTTCAAATTAATAATCCCAATATTCTACCCTTCCAACTAAACCAATGTTTTTATTCCAGAAACTGCTGCCATGGATATATTCTTTACTATTATTTGCATTTGTAATATCCTACATTTCATCTATCAACTACAGCTAGGCAATATCTTTTGAATATCTTCTTGGTATGGAAACTAAAGAAAAATTGCAAAACTGTTTCAATTATTAAATCCAGGAAATTTGAGCAACACAGATTTTCATTTGACTGTGCAATACAAAAATTCTTGGACCCCTACCAAAACTGACATCCTTGATATTTAGAAGAAACTCCAAAACCTTGATGACACAGGCCATTCAACAATGACTTGAGAATACTGGACTGATTTGAGTCCAATACTTCAACAAGAACTTGAGAATACTGGACTGATTTGAGTCCAATACTTCAACAAGGACTTGAGAATGCTGGACTGATTTGAGTCCAATACTTCAACAAGGACTTGAGAATACTGGACTGATTTGAGTCCAATACTTCAACAAGGACTTGAGAATGCTGGACTGATTTGAGTCCAATACTTCAACAAGGACTTGAGAATACTGGACTGATTTGAGTCCAATACTTCAACAAGGACTTGAGAATACTGGACTGATTTGAGTCCAGTACTACTACTCAAACAGCAATTCCTCAGTTTTGTATCTATCTTATCCACCTTGCACAGAAGCACCCCCTAATCAGTTGAAAAAGAGCCATGTTGGTTGGCAATGTAACCGCAATGCATGCATTTCATGAGTGTTTCTGAACCAGCGAAGCGCAGTTCCTGCCAAAGGAGCCTCCATTGCAAGAAAAATTGCGCCTACTCTTGGTTATGCTTGGGGCTCATAGAGTGACGATGTCATGCTCACAACTGTGTGTAGAAGACATTAGCACAAGAACCAGCGTGTGAACCAAAACGTGCACATACTCCCTTCCAGTTTCTGGTTCAAAATGATGTAGCACTTTGGTATTCTATCGATGACAATCCAGACATATCACTCATATATCTGCTTTTGACAGAGGATTATCTTCTACTTTGCTAAGCAAGTTTCCCTTTGAAGTTCTTGTGGTGCTATATGCTGGCATTAAACTTTATTTATAAAAGAAACTTACATAAAAATCTATTAAAAATTTCACACCAAAATCAAGAAAAATGTATAAAATACATTTATAACTGTTAGATTTTGTTGCATTTAACAGGTGTTTCTTTAACAAATCACTCATTCAATAGCACCTGCTGAGTGTGCTTCTCATGGAAGATGGAGTTAAGCGTTGATCCTTCTAAATTTTCTTTCAAAGCCCCATCAATCTTGGCAAAACCTGCAGAAACACAAGAAGTTATAAAAGAAATAAGGATGAACATAAACAACTTAAATGTTCATAGATTAAAATCAAGAGGGCGCCCTCAACTGTCCATGGTGTTTTTAATCTATTTAAATGGTATGCCAAGTGTAGAATCTGTGGTTTTTGGTAGGAAATTTGTGTGCTTTTTAGGAATTTTGAATGTTTTTCGGTCCATTTCACTTTTAAGTTAATTTAGAAATGATGGGATATAGTGTTTTTATTTTAATGATTTTTGTGTTCATATATTTAACATCAAAATAAAACGTCTAGTAAATGAAGATATGAATTTTGAAAAATTCTGAAAATGGAAAATCATGAAAAATGCCCGGCAATGTGTCTTCCATGCGCAAACTCCAACCCACATGAATTGGTTAAAGAAAGAAATACAAATATAAACGTGTTACACAGTTGAGTTGAGATTATCTGACTAGAATGGGCTGGATTTACACCCAAAAATGTCAGGATAGTCCATCCAGTGTCCAACTAAGAATCATTTCATATTTACAGAACATGAGATCAGCACTCTCGGTTCCCAATATTGGCAAGAGGATTCCATTCCCTTAAAAAGGCAAGTTTGGGAGCAACTGCATTGTATTTAGATTTATTATCCCTCGAACATTCTCAAAGTCCACTGAATTGTCTAAAATGTCCCAGGCTAAGAGTTCTAGGCACACTGTACTCTCCTCTCCTGATGAAGAGCACAGCATACTGCTCAAAACGTTGAGTACCACTGGTTCTTTTCAGAACCGCAAATGCTCACAAAAGAGATACATGTACGTCCATGGTGCTACCGCAAACCTACTTTCTACCACACTGTACTCTGATGTTTTCTTTGTTTGCCATATGTAATCAATGCATTACAATGTAAGCCAACGAAAGACCTCTGTTTTGAACATTTGAGGCTTACACATAACTGGGACTGGTTGGTTAATTGCCGTGTTGGATTGCACTACACAAGCCATTTGTAAGCCTGCCCTGCAAACTTCAAGTGTGATTAGAGAATACTTGTGAGGTCTTAAATAACTCATGAATCACACAACTTTCACGTCCTTACATCTGCCAGTAATGGCCGTCTCAGTTTCTTTTCCAGACAGTCAGATGCAATATCGTACATCTTCTTTGCCGATGCTTTGTTGTAGGAGTTATTTAACCTGTGGTCCACAATGCTCAGTATGTCTCCACACTTATCTATGATGACTTCCATGTAAGTGATGATGTCTGTACCTTCTCTGTTTTCGTCTAAAGGTTCTAGTCCAGTTATTAGCTCCAAAAGAACCTAATAGAAAAAAAATCCAACATAAAGTAAAATGTAACAGGCTAAAAATACTTTACACTTCATGGCATAATGGGCATTTGTGAATTTTAGCATCCAAGCTGAAAGTTTTGGCAAGATGTTCCAAAGCATCCTTCCACATCTGTTGACACAATAAGACTAGTTCAGTGATAATAAGAGAGGCGAAACATTAGGTGGCTAAAGGGTGTTGGATTTCTGCCACAGCTAGTGTAGAATGTTATTAAGCCCCCCCCCCCATGGTCAAAATGAGATTGCTGGGCATTGAAAGGATGACATAAAATCTCAATAGATAGAAACTTTCTTTGGTTAGGAACAATTCTATGAGGGTTCAATGCAGCTGAACATTGTCTAAGCTTACCACACCAAAGCTGAAGCTGTCCCCTTTGGGAGAGACTTCTCCGATGCGTGCCTCTGGCGGCATGTAAATGCTAGTCCCAATGATCATACTGGTGATATGAGTCTTCTTGTCACCTTCTGGTATGGCGCGTACAAGGCCAAAATCGGCCACCTTAGGGTTGAGGTCTGAATCAAGGAGTACATTGGCACTAGGAGAAAGTGGATGACAATATATGAATGTGTAGTGTAGTGCCATGAGGATGTTTGCACGAAAACTTACAGAGTTGCTAGGAGTTCATCACAATTCCCCAGGCCTAATATCACACATTTTCTGCTCATATTGTTAGTGTTAAGATTTCAAACTTCTTACAATTTGGAAAGCTCCTTTTTTACACCGAGTGAAAGAAAAACAACAACGCAGGTTGAGAAAACTCCCAATATTTACAGTTGACTGACGCCAGAAATATGTACTGCTGTTCTTTGTGAGGATACATCTGTTTATGCATCATAAATTTTGCACTATTTGAGTGTGTAACAATTTGAAAGAATTAGCGAAGAGGATTTGAACAATTCTTCTAGAACCAGAGTGACATCAGTGAAACTAATCAAGGAATAAAGCCAGGAATTGAACTTACCTCTTGACATCTCTGTGGACGACTCCCTCACTGTGTAGATAGGCCAAACCTTCAGCTGTGCCTTGCGCTATATGAACCCTGGATTCCCAAGGTAAGTGTAGAGAGCTGTCTTTGCCGAGTGCACCAAGCAGGGAGCCGTTGCGGAGAAACTGGAAGATGAGGCAAGGTGCTGGGCCATCAAAACTGTAGCCGTATAGCTCCACCAGGTTGGGATGCTTTAGTCTGGGGAGTAGCGGGGGATGAATGGTGGAAATAAGCACATTGAGGAATCTGTGAGACTGACAATGTGTGAGAACTGACAATCAAAACTTACCTGCCAACTGGCTGATCTTTACAGGTCTGTTTGTTTCATATGGATCTGAATCATAAT